CCACCTTCCCAGCACCTGAAAATTGCAAGTTCTAAGCAAGCCCAGACAGGAAAGTCCATGATACTTAACCTCAAATTTATCACTAGAAAACCGGAAGTGGATCTGTGGCTCAAAAGTGGTAAGAGTGCTACCTTTGAGCAGAAGAGCCCAGAGATAGCGCCCAGGCCTTGAGTTCAAGCTCTACAACAGAATAGGAAAAAAAAAAAGACATGGTGAAGGGCAGAGAAAGGTGATTTATTACATGGCAGCCATAGGAGACAGCACTTTAGTACATCTTTGGCCATCTTCAGAGATACTTACATTGACTTCAAGGGGAGAATTGGGGCAGAGAATTAGAAGGGTATGAATAGTTAAAACAATCCCAGGTCATTGGTGTGCCGGTTGACCATTCATTAGCTTCATCTTTGATATGGGGATTTCTGGATTACTGTTGGGAAAAGTTGCCTGGCGGGTGGCCTCCTGAGTTTCTAGGCCATTTCTGGTAAGAAGATAAGACATTATCAGGAAATCTTTCTTGGAGCCCCAGGTGATTGATTGCAAACAGACGACAGCAGAAAATAATTCAGATCAAAGGGCACAGATACAAAGTTGAGGGCCTAGCAAAAGCATCTTTTAGCTTACATCTTACAAGAGGACCTCTCTGGATGGGCCATTCTGAGCTGTGGCCAAATCAGGAACCTGATGACGAGAAGATGTTCATAAAACTGCTCAGAGCAGTTGAGAGCAGCCCAGAGCTGGTCTGGGGCAGAAGATGTTGGGGGAAAGGATGTGATGCCATTCTGCATCCAGCCTGCCCTGCGGTGCAGTGCTGGAATCCAGGGCAATGGAGCCTGCCTCTACTTACCAGACTACAAGGGTATCTCCTGCCATATCCACTCCAACCCAAACAGTCAAGGAGACCAGTGTTCCTGGCCCAGGCCACCTCCCAGGGAGAATGGTATGCTGAGAAAGGAGGCTCCAACAAGTGACACCCCCTCACCCACCAGACAGCTTCCCCTTTACCACTCGTCAGGTTGTCTTGCATCTGGGCTTAACCCCACCTGAAATTCACCTAGCTGTGGGGGTGACCCCTAGAGTCAGCATGTCTGCCAGCATGTCTGCATTTGGGGTCTGCCCAGGATGGATCTTAAATGGCAGCAGGGGGCAATGGACAGACCCAGGTGGTAGAGAGTGGAGAAAAGGGCCCCTGCTTGCCCCTGTCCCAATGAGAGAGGCAGGTTGCCTCAGGGAGCCCTGAAGTGTCCGTGAGGGCCGGTTCCTGTGCCCCACTCTTCATCCTTTCCTACTCCAAAGCTCTCCCACTCTTTTCTCTGGCTTTCTTAGGAGCTCAGCTCCTAGGGCTGCTGAGCCAGCAGAATTGTGGAGAGTAGAGGTAAGGGCCTGCTCTGCTTCCCAGTTTTCACTTGGTGACAATGGAATTGGAAATCTTGGCCTGGAGGACCTGCTGCCCTGAAGAACATTATGGGATTTCGGGGGAAGAACAAGGGGCAGAGGTGTTGCCCGGAGAAGAGCCTCCCACCCACAGTGGCCCTCAGTCAAACCTCAAAGTCCAGCCCAGTGGCCCTGCAAACTGCCTGGGTGGACCATGCTAAGGAGGGCCAGGTGAGCAGTTCCTCAGCCAGGCCTTTATCACAGGTGTTTGCAGTGTGGCTTTGCAGTCCGCTCTTGCCTCTTTCCATCTCTGTTGATTCCCACTGAAGTCAGGGGGTATTAGGGGTGCCAGTGGTTCATGCCTATAATTCTACCTAGTCAGAAAGCTAAGATCTGAGGATCATAGTTTGAAGCCAGCCAAGGCAGGAAAGTCCGTGAGACTCATCACCAATTAACCACAAAAAGCTGGATGTGGAGCTGTGGCTCAAGTCTTGAGCAAAAAAAAAAGCTCAGGAACAACCTCTAGGCTCTGAGTTCAAGCCCCAGGATGAGCACTGAGAGAGGCGGGGGCGGGGGGAGAGGAGAGGGGGGGTACCAACGTACTGCCAACTAAAGGCAGGGCTCACCATGTCCAAGCCTGAACTTCGTCCTCAGGTGGGTCCTCCCACTCAGGGAGTCTGGAGCTGAAACAGGTCCTGTGAGCCTTAGTTTCCTTACCAGTAACGAAGATAATAAAAGTAACCACCTTCAAAACATCTTTGCAGGGGCTGGGAAGGTGGCTCAGTGGTAGAGCACTCACCTTGCATGCTTAAGGCCCTGGGTTCGATTCCCCAGCACCACATAAGCAGAAAAAAAAGCCGGAAGTGGCGCTGTGGCTCAAGTGGTAGAGTGCTAAGCCCTGAGCTGAAGAGCTGAGGAACAGCGCCCAGGCCTAAAGTTCAGACCCCACGACCAGACCCCCCCCCAAAAAAATCTTTGCACAGTCAATGAATAAGAAAATGACAGGAATGTGTAAGAGTTATTGTGGAAGGCAAGTACTTGTATGAAAACAGAACAATGAGGGGCTGGGAAGTTGGCTCAGTGGTAGAGCGCTCGCCTTGCATGCCTGAGGCCCTGGATTCGATTCCTCAGCACCACATAAGCAAAAAGAAAAAAGCCGGAAGTGGTGCTGTGGCTCAAGTGGTAGAGCGCTTGCCTTGCATGCATGAAGCCCTGGGTTCAATTCCCCAGCACCACATAAGCAAAAAGCCGGAAGTGGCGCTGTGGCCCAAGTGGTAGAGCGCTAGTCTTGAGCTGAAGAGCTGAGGGACAGCGCCCAGGCCCAGAGTTCAGGCCCCACGACCAGACCCAAAAAAAAAAAAAAGAAAACAGAACAATGAAACATGAAGGGAAAAAACAACACTGTTCTTTCTTTCCACACCTCAATACTGAGTACCCTGTCTTAGATCCTGTCTCTCATCTCCCACAGATAGAAAATAAACTAAGGCAGTGCCAGCTGGTAGCCAGTGGTAAAGGAGATCAAATCAGAACCTGGATCCAGGGGGCTCTCTGAGCTGGTGGCACTTGTGAAAAAAGGAAAATCTTGGACTGGGGTATTAAAACACCTGCAGCATGCATGAGGTCCTAGGTTCCCTTCCCAGAACCACAAACAAAAAAAGGGGGGAGTAAATTCCAGTTTATAGCTTCATTAGCTATTGGGTTCCAATTGACACTGAAGCACAGTGCTGTGATTGGGAGTCAGGAGAGATAGGATACAGGAAAATTATATTTAATAAATATAAAAAGGGGGCTGGGAAGGTGGCTCAGTGGTAGAGTGCTTGCCTTGCATGTATGAGGCCCTGGATTCGATTCCTCAGCACCAGATAAGCAAAAAAAGAAAAAAGCCAGAAGTGGCACTGTGGCTTAAGTGGTAGAGTGCTAGCCTTGAGCTGAAGAGCTGAGGGACAGCGCCCAGGCCCAGAGTTCAGGCCCCACAACCAGACACCCCCCCCCAAAATATATACATATATATATATATGTGTGTATGTATACATATATATGTATGTATATATATACATATATATGTATATGTGTGTGTGTGTATATATATATATATATATATATATACACACACACACATACACACACACACACACACACACACATATATATATGAAGGGCCAGACTCAGAAAGTAAAACCAGGAAGCAACTGACAAGGTATTTAAGCTTCCCTCCATTTAAATGCTGTTACTAGACCTTGGAGACCCAAAAGGGGCTATTTAAATCCCCTGACAAAATCCTGGCAACTCTGGAACTACAGACAGCAAGATGAGGTTTATCTGGGAAAAGGAAGTCCTAAACCACTTGTTGTCCCTATGTTTTAAGTAAGTCCAGAGACATCACCATAGGATAGAATAATCCCATACCAGGCACCCAAAATCCCTGCTGAAGCATTAGAGGGTTGCTCAGCAACATGACCATGTGTTTTCCACCAGCTCAGAAGGAATAAAAGCAGCAGGTAATAGCTGCCATTTTGAGTCTTTAACTCCCATTTCCTGCATAGGAAACAGGAAATTCTCTCTCCCTCCCTCCCTTCCTCCCTTCCTCCCTCTCTCCTCTCTCTCTCTCTCTCTCTCTCCCTCCCTCCCTCCCTCCCTTCCTCCTTCTCTCCCTCTCTCTCTCCCTCTCTCTCTCTCTCTGTGTCTGTCTCTGTGTCTCTCTGTCTCTCTGTGTCTCTGTCTCTGTTTCTGTCTCTGTCTCTGTCTCTCTCTTTCTCCCTCCCTCCCTACTTTAACCCCATTTTACCAAAACAAATCCTGGCTAAAATTTCCTAGAGACTCTCCTTTTTGTGAGATACTCTGAAATGGTTTTCCACATGTGGTTCTCAAGGACTGGTGATTTTGTGTGGGAACTAGGAAATGAGTGACAATTGAATCCACTCCAGTCTAGTCTATTCGTCTATTAGGTGTGGGAGCTCAGTCCACACCAGTAGCTTTAACCCTTCTTACCTGAGACTGTCTGAGAAAAGGGGCCAGCTGTAACAATCAGGATTAGGGCTAGGGTTAGGGTTAGGGATAAGCAGTAGAGCCCACATGCCAGGTGTGCTCACTTGAAGGAAAATGCCCCAGTAGCTGGAGCAGAGCAAAAGAGGCTCTGGCCACCATGAAGCGGTATTGCAGAATGATGAGAAATGGGACAGAACACATTTGGGGTCTGGAGTGGTGCCGGAAGCAGGAAATTGGGGGTGGGACAGGTGCAGAGAGAGAGGGTCCACCTACCTCTCCTAGTAGTGGGGAAGGTTTAGGCTAGAGCTGGGGCTCCATAACCTCCCAATCAGCAGAACCCCAGAGGCTCCAAGTATAAAGTGCTGGCTGGGTAGGATGGGGGTGGGAGTTGTTGCAGTATGTTTCTGAATCTCCCCTGGTTAATGGTAAGCTTGAAGGGGGGTCTTGGGCCTGGAAGCACTGATTGGGGGCCCAGGTTGTCCATGCGGGGTCAGTGTCTAGCGCCTTCCCTTCCGCCTGCAGGCTGCTGATACACAGGAGGAAATCCTGGCAGATTCCTGTGGGGGGTGAGCTGGCCGAGTGCTTTTAAGGCGACTGCCCTGTTCCGCCTGCCTGTCCCGTGCCTGCCAGCTGCTCCCACTTGGTCCCGGATCGTGTGCTCTCCAACCGCGTGGACCATGGCGGGGGCCCAGAGCCTCCTCCCGCTCTGCCTCCTCGCCTTCTGCCTGGTGGGCTCCAGTGTTATCAGGGGGCAGAAGGTGAGTGTGAGCCAGTTATAGGGAATATTGGTATCCAGGAGCTGCCAGCCAGCTGTGGGAACAGGGAGGAACTTTCCATAGACGGGGCATGCGTCTGGGGATAGCAAAGTAGCGGGTATCTGTCTGACTCTGTGCAAGCCAGTCTCCAGGACTGTGTCTTGTCACCTGAGGTACCAAGATGTCTCTGTCTGTGTTCCTCTTAACTGTGCCTGCTCAGTCAGTTGTGTGGTATGTGCGGTGGTCCTGGGTTTTCCCAGCCTAAGAATGAGTGGGGGGACACCACCAGCTCCATTCTCCTGGCTATCCTGTCAAGACTGAGGCCCAAGTCTCTGTGGCTTTTTACCTAGAGATTTGAGATGTGATTGTCATCAAACCCATGGGAACGACAAACTGAGAGGCTCCCATAGAACACATGTGTGTACTGTGTCCAGCCCTAAGACTGCCTGGTGGCTGAGTGAAAGCACCGTCTGTGCTGCTGGGCAAACAGCCACTGGTCAGCCCTGGGCCTGACCCCACTGAGCCCTCACAATCTCTCGTTAGTGCGTCCTGTTGTTCTCCTAGTGAGGAAGCCAAGGCCCAAGGGTGAAGGCTACGGGCCATTCCCACTGGAGCAGTGGTCCAGACCGCAGCCTGTGATTCACCAGAGGCGAGCTGGTGAGCAGACAGGAGCCCCGTGTGCAGCTGTGGCACAGCGCCTATCAGGCCTGTGAAGTCAGCCACTGCCGGGCTGCACTGGGCCCCACAGTAGCAATGAGCTTTGGGAAGAACTTCACTCTCAGATTATGGAGATAGAGTTTTCTGGCATGGACCTGCCAACAAGGGAAGGAACTTGTCATGTGAGATCAAGTTCATCTGCTTCTTGATGCTGCCACTGTCTCCATGGTGCTAATGGGCAGACTGAAGTCCAGACAAGAAAAGCTTTGCCCACGATCCACCCCAGGTGGTCCAGTATAGGGACCCAGGATCCCTACCACTGATGAGCTCTTTAATCTTATAATCCTTGTGGTCCCTTAGAAAGGTGTCAGGGAGAAGGGCCTCACTGGCTTCAGGGATAGGCCTTGGGTAAGACAGGCCCCAGGAGGCTGGGAAGGTGAGAATTCCAGTTATTCTGGGCCCTGGAGTTTCCCCGTCCTCACCACCTATCTTAGGACCAAGTGTTAATGAAAAACCTTAGCTTGGAGGATTTTCTTTGTAGAGGAACTTAGAGCTGAGCATAGGCTCTGAGCATCTCTAAGTCTGCAGCTCTGGGTCTGGGGCTTATCCTGCCTAAGCCAAAGGAAGTGTGGGGGTCCTCGGTGGGGGGGTTGCAGCAATGCTGGCTTTATCTCATGTTTACACCCACTCGGCCCTCCTGGCAACTTGGGTACCATGTAACGGACTGGGGCTGTTAGGAACAGAGGTTCTGAGGGACACCCTGCGCCACATATCCAGTAGGGGAAGTAGCAGGATCTCCTCAGTGCTGGGAGCCTGTGGTCTTAAGTCAGGGTTCAAAAAGAAACAAGCTTTGCCGGGAGCCAGCACTGTCCCTCCTGCTTTGATCCAGTGTAGAGGGAAGAAGTTTGAGTCCAATTCCTCTCTTGGGGAGAGGTCAGCTGTGTGGGGGGGAGGGGGTTCCCTCACAGGTCTCTAGGGAGGTCAGCCCCAGAAAATCCCTCCTAAGATCTTGCTTCCATCTTGAGAGAACTTCCACGTTCCCACCAACAGGCTTAATATTTCGTGTCTCCTCAGCTTCCTCTAGCCAGATCTTTGTGGGAAGCAGACACTGCAAACTCAACTCGGAACCTATGTGGGAGGGATGCAGGACTCACTCTGGCTCTGACAGGTCCCAAGGAAGAACCTGATTGAGCATTCAGGCTGTGATTCGGCCTCACTCTACCCAGCAGCATTAGTGGCAGGATTCTGAATCTGGCTGTTGAAGCAGCTTCCAGGCTACTGGGCAGATGCAGGCCTGAGTGCTGTCCTGGGGAGTGGTCCTTGGCGAGGAGCTGATTTGGCAACTGCTTATCTACCCATCACCACTTCACAAAGTGACAAAGCTCTGGCTTCCTCCTGGTCTCTCCCTTGTCCACAGCTTCACCCAGCCCTGGCTCTGCCTTCAGAGTGACAGCAGCACTCTTACCAGCCATAAGCCTCATCCAGGACTGACCAATCATCCTCAGCATGGTGGCCATGCTGGTAGCTCTGCCCAGCTGGCCAGGTGGCCTTGAAGACAGCTTACTGCCAGCCCAACCTTTGCCCTGAGCCAGCAGCTGCCCAGCTCCTGAGTTACTCAATTTCCTGAGCTCTACCTGGCTCAGCAAAGTTGGGGCTCAGGGTAGGGAATGACATCACAGCATCCAGGCCCAAGGCCAGCCCCTGAAACCACTGGGAACAACTTCCTTCTTTGTAGACCACAGAGGCATGAGCAGAAAAGGCTAAATCACAGTTGTGGAGAGGCCCTGGGACTCTCATGCTCACTAGAAGAAAGTGTTGGGGTGCTATTTCTCCTTTTCTCTGCCTTTGAAAAGCCACACATCTGTAGTTTTTTTTTTTTTTCTAGGAAAGGGATGTTCTGCGCTCACTCCCTTCAGAGCACAGCAGCCTCAGCATTTTTCAGCACATCTCAGTCCCTTTAGCCCATGTTCCAACCCACCACAGCTCTCCCTATCATCATGCACTTTCCTCTGCCTTTTTTTTTCTTGCTCCTGGGGCTTGGACTCAGGGTCTGGGTGCCTGAGTGTCATCGTCGTCGTCTTCCTCCTCCTCCTCCTCTTCCTCCTCCTCCTCCTCTTCCTCCACCTTCTCCTCCTCCTCCTCCTTCTCCTCCTCCTTCTTCTTCTCCTTCTCTTTCTTCTTCTTCTCCTTCTTCTGCTGTTGTTTGTGGGGCTTGAACTCTGGGACTGAGCGCTGTCCCTCTGCTCTTCAGCTCAAGGCGAGCACTCTACCACTTGAGCCACAGCGCCACTTCTGGTTTTTTGAGTGGAGGGAGTTTCCTACTTGGTCTGGCTTTGGACCTCGATCCTCAAATCTCAGCCTCCTGAGTAGCTAGGATGACAGGTGTGAGCCTCCAGCACCCAGCCCTGAGCTTCTTCTTACTCAAGGCTAGCGCTCTACTACTTGAGCCACAGCACCCCTTCCAGCTTTTTCTGGGTAGTTTATTGAGGACAGAAATTTCATAGAGCCAGACACCTGTAATCCTAGCTACTCAGGAGGCTGAGATCTGAGGAAGGCGGTTCAAAGCCAGCCCAGGCAGGAAAAGTCCGTGAGACTCTTATCTCCAATAAACCACTAGAAAACTGGAAGTGGCGCTGTGGCTCAAGCAGTAGAGTGCTCACCTTGAGCTGAAGAGCGCAGGGACAGCACCCAAGCCCAGAGTTCAAGCCCCACAACCGCCAAAAAAAAAAAAAAAAAGAAGTCTCATGGACATTTCTGCCCAGTCTGGCTTCACAATCCTCATATCCCAGTCTCCAGAATAGCTAGGATTACAGGAGTTGAGCCAATAGTGCCCTTCCTTCTGCCTCTTTCTCTCACACCTGTAAGCATGGAGGGTGACTCTACCCTTCAGGCGAAAACAATGTTGTTTCTGGCATTTTGTCCTTTAAAGGTAGCCCCATCAAGGGACTTGCTGAAACTAAGGCAGGCCAGTGAATGGGATAGCAGGGATCATTTAACCTGAGTCCTGAGCCCTTTCGCCTGCCCTTTTGTCCCATTGTCCCCACCTCAGCCAGGCCACCCTCAGGTAATAAGGTGATGATCTTTCCCCTACCTGTCCCTGCCTATGAATGGAGACCAAGGGCCAGGCCTGGACTCAGAGCTGCCTAGCCCAAGGGCACATAGGCCAGACTCCTCTGCCCTGCATCAGCTGATCCCTCACTAGCCCAGACTCTCAGGTCTGGTGCTCTTAGACAAGAGACCTAGGAGCTGAGGAGGCCAGTTCAGCAGTAATGTGGCTAGAATTCCACTCACATGAGCCATGGATAAAAGCTTGCATCCATCCCTCCCTAATGCCTATGAATTGAAGACAGCACTGCTGTGTTCTCACAGAATATCAGTTCATAGGACTAAGGCTTGGGGACTAGGTAGCTGGTGGCTCAGTGTCAGACATACCATTTAGTGATTGTCTTTAAATGAAAAAGCAAGGCTCAGCACAGATTCTAGTCCTATATCCACACCCTGCCTAGGGGTGATTTTGAACAAGGACCACCTTGGGCTTCAGTTTCTTCACCTGAAATGATCTAAGGTAGAACAAAATGGCAGAGATTTGCCTCATGTTTGCAGCTATAGACTTGGAATCTCTGGTATGGACATGGGAATATGTTGGTGTCAATTAGCAACTTTTTATTTTCTGTGTGTGCCAGTACTGGGGCACGAACTCGAGGCCCGAGTGCTGTTCCTTAGCTTTTTTTGCTCAAGGTTGGCACTCAACCACTTGAGCCACAGCTCCACTTCTGGCTCTTTGATGATAGATTGGACATTAAAGTCTCTAGACTTTCTGCCTGGGCTGGTTTTAAACCACAGTCCTCAGATCTCAGCTTCCTAAGTTGCAATCAGCAGATTGTGGCAGGGCACTTTCTCAGGGCCTTCCCCATTCTCACTGATTCCTGAGGTGCTGAGGTCTTGTGGCGATCATGCCAGAATCCAACTGAGTGCGGGGTCCAGATCCCTTACTCCACACTCTGCCCACGGCCCAGGTGCGGTCCAAACGCTGCGATGTGAAGACCAAGTTTGTCACTCACACACCTTGTACCACGTGTGCAGCCATCAAGAAAGTGGTTTGTCCCTTGGGCTGGCTTCGGCATTTCCCAGAGAAGATAACCAAGGACTGCCAGTATGAACTCTTCACTTCCATTTTTCCCACTTCTAGGAGCACCCCACGGGGAGGAGGAGGCGGGCAACTAGGGGAGCCCCATAAGTCAGAAAGTGGGGACAGATGCCCATGTAATTGTAACCCCTCTGTACAGTACTTTCACAATAATAATAATAATAAAAGATGCACATTAAAAAAGAAAGAAAGTGAGGACAGAAACTAATCTCCCTGGGAGGCAGAGACAGGCAGAGAGGAAAGAAAAGGGTGAAAGGTTGACAGTGTCTATTGGGTACCTATGATTTGTCAGGCCCTGTGCTCAGTTCTGGGCAAGGCAGAGATGGGAGAGGAAGGATAGGAGCATAGGACCCAGTGCAGGGGGCTGCAGTAGGGGGCTATAAGTTGGAACTTTTCTCATCATCTTAACCACCACCCTGTCTATCCTGTGTCCCCAGATATGAGGTACAGCTGGGGGCCTCTTTGGTGTCCTTGAGCGGCTGCAGCTTGGAGTGCTCCAAGGATGTAGTTCAGAAGGCCTGCTGTCCTGGATACTGGGGGTCCCTGTGCTATGGTATGGGCGAGGGCTCACCTGGCTCCACCCACTGCATCCCAGCTCTTCCTTACCTTGTTCATTCAGTGAGCACACACTGAGCCCCTCTGGGTGCAGCTCCCAGGCCAAGTGTAGGGCTGGCCTGAGACTGTGGGGGTGTGGGCCAGGGGAGAGTTCTGGGAGCAGAACTAAGTTCTGGGGGTTCACAGAGTGCCCTGGAGGTGCTGAGACCCCATGCAATGGCCACGGAACCTGCCTGGACGGCATATCTGGAAACGGGACCTGCGTGTGCCAGGTAAGGGACAGGCAGGGTTGGAGGGTGGAGGGATCTGGGGGGACCCTGTTGACTCTGGCATCTACAGGAGAACTTCAGCGGCTCAGCCTGCCAGGAGTGTCAAGATCCCCAGCGGTTTGGGCCTGACTGTCAATCAGGTGAAGCAGACAGGCCAGGAGGGCTGGGCCAGAGCCCGTTGTGCCTTCTAGTCCACCCCTGACTGTCCCTGCTGCCCCTCCCAGCCCTGCCCTTCCCCTCTAGGGAGACTTGCTTGTCCTCCTTAGCTCCTAGCTCCTTGAATGTGCCGCCTCCCTCAGAGGGCCTCCTTCAGGAGTCCTCATGACCCTAGGCTGGGCTGCCACCCTCTGTGTTCCTCCCCCCTACTCTCCTCCCACCCCTACCCTCAGTCCTTGTATGTGCCTTGGTGAGGCTGAGGTCTCACCTGTCCCTGAATGCCCTTCCCAGTGTGTAGCTGTGTGCATGGCGTGTGCAGCCATGGGCCGCAGGGTGACGGAAGCTGCCTGTGCTTTGCTGGATACACTGGTCCCCGCTGTGACCAAGGTAAGCAGGGCTGCTAGGCAGCCCAGGACAACAGCTTCTCTGTGATCAGAGCAGGGGAAACCAATTGGGTGACAGATGGGACCTAAAATTCAGTAGTATTGCCTGACACAGGTGACTCATGCCTGTAATCCTAGCTACTTAGGAGGCTGAGATCTGAGGATCACAGTTCAAAGCCAGCCTGGGAAGGAAAGTCTGTGAGAGTCTTATTGACAATAAACTGCAGTAGAAAAAGCTGGAAGTGGATCAAGTGATAGAGCACTAGCCTTGAGCAAAAAGAAGCTCAAGGAGCATCCAGGTCCTGGGTTCAAGTCTTAGGATGTGCAAAAAAAAAAATCAGTAATATTTTTGCCTGCAGCCTAGTGGGGGGAAAGGGGTGTTATCCCAGACCTCCACTATCTGGAAGCCCAGAAAGGACAAGGTCTTGCTTGGGATTAGATGGCAAGCCCGGCAGAGTGCCGTGGTTCCTCTATTCCTTCCAAACCTGGGCCATCTCTGTGCTCTCTTCTGCTCAGAGCTCCGTGTCTGCAAGGAACGGAGCTGCCCCCAGAACTCCCAGTGCTCTGCAGAGGCCCCTGGCTGCAGATGCCTGCCTGGCCACACTCTGCAGGACTCCAAATGCATAGGTGAGCCTGAGACCTGAGCTAGGGGCTATGGTTGGTGTGGGTGTGAGGGAGGGGGAGACATTCCAGCTCTGACTGCTGGTAGAAGCTGTAAAGGTAGTGGGTCTCAACTCACTCAGGCTGTTTCTCTCTTTTCCCTGGTAGCTCCCAACCCTTGTCAGTCATCACCCTGCTCTCCACTGGCTAGCTGCTCAGTGAGCCCCACAGGGCAGGCCCAGTGTCACTGCCCTGAGAACTACCATGGTGATGGGAAGATATGTCTGCCCCACGACCCATGCACCAACAACTTTGGTGGCTGCCCCAGCAATTCTACCGTGTGTATATACCAGAAGCCAGGAACGGTGAGTTGGGGTACAGGCTGGGCCTGCCCTACAATCTACCTTCCCACTTTAGCTAGAGAACCCACACTGCTTATAAATAGGAAAAGGGGGAAGATACTGGTGGCTCACACCTTGACTAGCTAGAAGTCAAGAGGCTGAAATCTGAGGATCATGATTCAAAGTCAGCCCAGACAGGAAAATCTGTGAGACTATCTCCAATAAAATACTCAAATAAGCTGGAAGTGGCCAGGCACTAGTGCTCTATGCCTGTAATCCTAGTTACTCAGGGGCTGAGATCTGAGGATTGCAGTTCAAAGCCAACCTGGGCAGGAAAGGTCTGTGAGATTCTTATCTCCAATTATCCATAAAAAGTTGGAAGTAGAGCTGTGTCTCAAGTGGTAGAGCACTAGCCTTGAGCAAGAAAGCTCAAGGACAGTGCTCAGGCTCTGAGTTCAAGCCCCAGGACTGGCACAAAAAAAAAAAGGAAGAGGGCCAGGAGCTGGTGGCTCATACCTGTAATCCTAGCTACTCAATAGGATCCCAGTTTGAAGACACTCTGGGCAGGAAAGTCTGTGAGCCTCTTATCTTGAATTAGTCACCAAAAATCCAGAAGTAGAGCTGTCGTTTAAGTGGTAGAACACCAGTCTTGAGCCAAAAAGCCAAGTAAGAGCTAGAGGTCCAGAATTCAAGCCCTAGTACTAGCACCCAAAAGTAAGATAAGTGGGAAGAGAATGGCAGCTCTGTTCTTGAAGGACAATTATGGGGTCCCCGGCAGGGGTGTATGAGGGAGACATAGACCAGTAGTCATAGACCAGTCATTCTTAAAATTCTCATGGACTGGACTGGGTGGGAATATGGCTTAGTGGTAGAGTGCTTGCCTAGCATGCATAAAGCCCTGGGTTCGATTCCTCAGTACCACATAAACAGAAAAAAAAAAACAGAAGTGGCACTGTGGCTCAAGTGGTAGAATGCTAGCCTTGAGCAAAAGAAACTCAAGGACAGTGCCCAGGCCCTGAGTTCTAGCCCCAGGATTGGCAAGAAAGAAAAAGAAAAGAAATTCTCACGAACTGAATGTGTGTCCCTTTCTTCCCCTGTCATTTGTCCAGGCTGTCTGTTCATGTCAGCCAGGCCTGTTCCGCTTCAACAGCAATACCTCTGCAGGCTGCTTCGCCTACTGCTCCCGTCACTCCTGTGACCAGTCGGCCACCTGCCAGGTGACCCCCAATGGGAAGACCAGGTGGGCATAGGGGCCTTGGGGGCATGGAAGCAGAGTAGAGAAGGTGGGCTGGACATATGCATACCTGTCACAGGTGTACAGGGAGGGCTGAGGGAGGAGCAGAGGAAGGACTGGCCTGCCCCACCCTGACTGGTTCTCTCTGGATCCCCAGATGTGTGTGCAAGGAGGGCGAGGTGGGGGATGGGCGTGCCTGCTACGGACACCTGCTCCACGAGGTGCAGAAAGCCCACCAGATAGGCTTGGTGTTCCTGAAACTGAGAGTCGCCATCTCCATGTTCGGTGTGTGTTCCCCACCACTGCCCACAACCCCACCCTTCATCCAAGCCTAGCTGGTAGGCAGGGGGTAGGCCTCGGCAGAGATTCCTGTTTGTTTACTCAAGAGCTGTAAAAGCAAAGCATGCACTGGGGTACATGATACAAGTTGGGGAGTGATGGTCCCAACCTACCCTAAGCCTCTTCGACAACTCCCAAAGCTAAAATCAATGCCCAAGGTTGTTCTAGATTTGGTTCCCATCCTCTGCACTAACCCACAGAGTAGTTCTGATGCTCTTTCCTGACCAATCTCCCTGCAGAGCAGGGCTGCCAGGATATCCTCACCACATCTGGCCCATTCACTGTGCTGGTACCGTCCATTTCCAGCTCCACCGGCTCCTCCAAGACCATGAACGTGAGTCTTCCCCATGCAGTGTGGCCCCTGGCCTCACTTCCTCCCCCAGTGCTGTGCCCTCATCTTCAGGCCCCAAGTCAGCCCCTCATCCACACCAGAAAACAGAACCTAGGAAGCATCTCATCCCACCCATTGCTCAGATGGGTGGCATGAAGAGGGCTCACTTGGCACCATTTCCTTGTTTCTACAGGCAGCACTTGCCCAGCAGCTCTGCAGACAGCACATCATTGCAGGGCAGCACATACTGGAGGACACAAAGTCCCCAAGTATACGTAGGTGGTGGACGCTGGCTGGGCAGGAGATCACCGTCACCTTCAACCGTATAGTAAGGGAGGACCCTCAGCTGGGAGATGAGAGGAGTCACAGGTGGAGAATAGCCCTGGCAATGGTGTACATGACAGAGGGCTGGTATATGTGATCTAGCCAGATGCCTTTGTTTTTTTCAGAGATACACCTATACGTACAAAGACCAGCCCCAGCAAACATTCATCATCCAAAAGACCAACTACATAGCAGCCAACGGCATCTTCCATGTGGTCACTGCTCTACAGTGGCAGGTGTCACCCAAGCTCCCTGGGGACCCCAAGGTGAGCCAGCATCCTTCTCCCCCCAACTCTGAGCTGCTGGGTGACTTCAGAGACCTGCAGAATACAGGAAAGAGGCAGGGATGGTTCTGGAAGATGGGAGCCCAGTTCCTTCTCCATGGGACGGAAGCAGTCTCACTCCTTTACCTGAATCGTGGATATGCATTCCTTTCTATAGAAAACCGTTGGCCAGATCCTTGCCTCTACTGAGGACTTCAGCCGCTTTGAAACCATTCTGGAGGTGAGCTGGGGTGAACTCAAAAGCCATTCTGGAGGTGAGCTCAAAAGCCATTGAGGCTTTTGAGCCAGCATTCCTCACGTCCCTAGAATGTGCCCCACAAGGCTATGGGATCCTAGAGCATAACCATCATGTTTCTGAGGTTCTCTGGTAGCATGGACCCATTGTCCACATCTTCCACTGCCTCTGTGAGACTTCTTGCAGGTTAAGAGTAGCAGGGTCAGGCATAGCTCCAAAGTGGAGGCTGGCCATGGAGTCTCTTAGCCTCCTTTCCACTGCCACAGAACTGTGGGCTGCCCTCCATCTTGGAGGGGCCTGGGCCCTTCACGGTCTTTGCCCCAAGCAACGAGGCTGTGGACAGCTTGCGTGATGGCCGTCTGATCTACCTCTTCACAGGGGTAAGCGTTAGGGCTGGGGACACAGGGGTCTCCATCCTCCATGACAAGTCTCTAGGAACCAAGCTTCTTCTCTCCTGCTAGGGCCTCTCCAAGCTGCAGGAGCTGGTGAAGTACCACATCTACAGCCATGGGCAGGTGAGGGCTCACCTCTCAGGCCAGCTGCTGCAGGGTTCCTGGGGAGGGGATGCCTATGGGCTCCCGTCTTCCTGGGGGCTCGCCTCCTTTTCTTCATCTCTCCGATCTGGACATTGTATCAGAGAAAGGCTGGGACCAAGAGGGTAGCTGGGCATCACCTGGACAGGGTATGACTGAGTCCCCTCCCTGAAGCCTCCCTTGGTTATCTGCAGCTGACTGTGGAGAAGCTCATCTCCAAGGGGCGGGTCCTCACTATGGCAAACCAGATCCTGGCTGTGAATATCTCCGAAGAGGTATGATCTCCAAAGGTCTGAACACATAGATCAGTGAAGGGGCTACTGATGGCTGGCTGGTCATCCAGCCTCTTGTAGATGCCATCTGTGTTGCTCTTAACCCATGATGGGCAAGGGCAAGACTAGACCATGGCAGGGCCGGGCAGGGCTTGCTGGGTGAGGGCTGGCACATCTCAGGTCTGTGATGCAGGGGCGCATTCTCTTGGGACCCAATGGGATCCCTCTGCGGAGAGTGGACGTGCCGGCTGCCAACGGGGTGATCCACATGCTGGAGGGTATCCTGCTGCCCCCAACCATCCTGCCCATCCTGCCCAAGCACTGTGACGAGGAGCAGCACAAGATTGTGATGGTAAGCCCTGCCCAGTGCGCCCAAGCTTTTAACACTGAAATGACTCCCACCCCAGGATGCAGACAGGTGACCGTCTCCGGGGACAGAGGCACCGAGTCCTCACCCCAACGCTGTAACAGAATATCTGAGGCCGGGTCATTTTCTAAGAGGATTTTTCTGGCTCATGATTCTGGAAGTCTCAGAGCATGGAGCCAGCATCAGGCTACACTGGCTTCTGCAGAAGAAGGCTGGGGGCAGAGGGCCTCAGGTGTATGTAGAAGAAAACAGAGGTGGGGGGAGGAGAGGGAGAGAAAGAGGGAGGGAGGGAGGAGAGAGGAGACAGGAGGGGTGCCTGGCTGACTCCACACCAACTTACTTTCATGATCATTAGACTAGGTTTTGAACACTCTGTTACTGTATGTGGGGGACCCCATGACCCTAAATGTATCTTAAAGATCTCATCTCCTCACAAACCTACCCTGGGTTGTTTTGTGGTTTGATTTGGTTTGGTTTGGTTTTCTGCTGGTCCTGGAGCTTGAACTCAGGGCCTGGATGCTTCTGTTTTGGTGGTTAACTGGAGATAAGAATCTCACAGCATTTCCTGTCCAGTCTGGCTTTGAACCAAGATCCTCAGATCTCAGCCTCCTGAGTAGCTAGGATTAGAGCCACAGGTACCTGGCTCTACCCTGGCTTTCTTGTGTTTGGTCCTGTCTTAACCTTCCAGGTCTCAGCACAATGTCACTTTCTTTTTTTTTTTTTTCATTTCTTTTTCTTTTTGCCAGTCCTGGGGCTTGACTCTGAGCCTGGGACTGTCCCTGAGCTTTTTTGCTCAAGCCTAGTGCTCTCTCACTTGAGCCATAGTGACACTCCTGTCTTTTTCTGTGAAATTGGAAATAAAAGTCTCATAGACTTTCCTGCCCAGGCTGGCTTTGACCTATGATCCTCAGATCTCAGCCTCCTGAATCGTTAGGACAAGTGTGAGCCACTGGCTCTCAGTTCAATGTCACTTTTTTTTTTTT